ATTTAACGGTGATCCTTTGGGGTCTTACACACATGAGTAAAGTAGGGTCCTCTAGGATCATTTCTCAATATATATAATTTTTTATGTTAAATTAAAAAGACTAGAACTCAAGACGTCATAATGTATCATCCAATCACCATATATGCCTAGCCGCCTAGAGGCATATCCTCTCTCTCTCTTAGCCGCCTAGAGGCTATTCCTCTGGCTCTCATAGCCGCCAAGAGGCTATTCCTCTCTCTCTCTCATTTGTCTTTGAGAATACAGTACAAGAAAAAAAATGAATAAGTAATGCACATACAAAAAGCAAGGACCGGCCACCATAAAAAAGAAGAGATGGTGTATATGTGTGTACCAATGAATATGCATTGCACACTCATGTAGGTGCTTCAAAAGGCTGAGAGAGAAAGGTGGGAACAGTGAGATGCATGTATGCACATTACCCACTTCAATAAATTACAAGAGAGAGTGAGAGAGTGGAGAACTATAATCATATTATATATATAGTAAATGATGTATCATAGTAATTTAAGAATCTCCTGCCTAGACTTAGGTTGGGATAATATTGGTGACTTTGATATTGGATTCTTTAGAAGAAGCAAGAGAAACGAGGTTCAGAGTCTACGTTGAGATTGAAGACAAAAGATTTACAAACAAAGGAATGAATGTCTCTTGGGTGCAGTTCTCATGATTGAGAAAATTTTGATGCTCTCTGAAAATCTGCCGCATTATTCATCGAAGGCACCAAATCCGGTTATCAAGGCAATAGGAGTCGAACCTTATTTTATTTGTGAATGGCAATAATCATGTTAAAGAGAGAATCTGAGGCATTTTTCCCACTACTATTTTATTACACGCATGTAACTTATACCCCTTCTCTCTCCCCCCCCTCTCTCTCTCTCTCTCTCTCTCTCTCGTCTCTACTCTTAGTTACTAACGTACTAACTACTATCTACTACCCTACCCCTTCTTCCTTACCTTACCTACACTACTACTACCTACCTCTCTCTACT